CCCCCCCCCCCCCCCCCCCCCCCCCCCCCCCGTGTCTTCAGATCGAGCTGATTGATCGCGTGGACGACATCTACAGAAACACGTCGTGGGATGATGAGTTCGTGGGCTACGGCGTTCAGATCCAGCAGGTGAGGAGCAGGTAGTCTGTGGTTTGAAGCCACGCCTCCACCGAGTGTAAACTGTGCGTCTCCGGTCAGATCATCATCAGGAAGAATCCGACAGCCGTCGCTCCGGGAAAAAGTCACTTCAACATGGAAGGAAGTCCAGTGAAGGGTCGAGGAGTCTGGGACGTCAAGAAGCTGCTGGAGGTAAAACACACAAGATGTAAAGTAAAGACTTCAGTGTTCAGAGGGAGCTGCTGTGTGATTGGTGTCCTCAAGTGATGTCACTCGAGTCAGCGCTCGGCTGGAGACTGAAAGTAGAGAGGAGTGAGACCTCTGTAGCTGCTGCAGGCTGATATCTGTTGATATTCATGTGAACACATCATGATAAAGTTATAATGTACCTTCAGCCAGTACTCATCTTCACTGAGCAGAGCTTGAAGGCATCATAATGTAGCTGAAGTGAACCTCCGTTGGTTAGCCGTTAGCGGTGCTGCTAACGTTACTAGCTCTCCTCCTGTTGGTTAGCCGTTAGCGGTGCTGCTAACGTTACTAGCTCTCCTCTGATTGGTTGTTTACAATGAAACATGATCAGAGATCAGAGATTCCAAATGCATGTTCTACTGAGTCAGTGCACTTTATTTACACTGTGATGGTTACACTGACCACTACTAACTAGCATAACACACCGCAATCTACCACACAGCAGTCAGAGGGAGAGCTGCATTGTGGGTAATGTAGGCGGCAGGTTTTGAACAGAACTTCCTGTGTGTGTTTTACGTCTCTGCAGCAGTTCAGCGTGGACATCGCAGAGAACGCGTCCTCCGTCTGCCTGGCTCACCTCTTCACCTACCAGGACTTCGATGAGGGGACTCTGGGTCTGGCCTACGTGGCTCCGTCCAAACCAGACATCCCCGGAGGTCTCTGCTCCAAAGGTGACGTCCTGACGTCTGGATGCTCCTCAATCACCATCAGAGACGTGAGATCATAACTCTGTTTGTTCTGAAGGTTGTCCTTCATCGACCAATGAGCAGAGAGCGATCTACCTCAACACGGGACTGACCAGCACCAAGAACTACGGGAAGACCATCCTCACCAAGGTCACTTTATCCTCCTCCTCCTCCTCCTCCTCACTAAGGTCACTTTATCCTGCTCCTCC